GTTGAAATTTCAACCGGTTGAAAACGTAGTGTTGTATATATAAAACACTATAAGTTGTGTTCCAAATTATTAAACTTTTAAACTGGAGGCCACAACCTCCAGGAAACCTACAATACAAAGATCTTGCTGCTGTGCGGCTACGGTCTGGGTTGTTTCAGGACAATCTTCCAGGGTCTATATGTTCGGTGGTACAGGTTCTAGGTGTTCCAAAGGCTCATGGAGAAAGGTTGTGCGAGGTGGGGGTTGCTCCATTTGTATAGTGGTTTAGGTGAATTGGTGGTGTACATGCTGAGGATTCAAAGGTGTGGGTTTCAGGGTTCGCCCAGTATGTTCAGAAGGCTTCTGGCCTTAGCAGGTTTTGGGTTCCAGTTTAATTTCATGTGGGGGCATCATTACATCATCATATCACAGTAGCATGTGAATGTTACTGTGATATAATGATGTAATGATGTAACAATCATGTAGTGTGATATACATGAACTTATTGTCATCTATAAGTATAATATATCGTCATGCAAGGATACGAGTATATAAGTCCTCATACATAATATATATATATATATATGTAATTTAAACAAATATATATATATATATATACAGATATATGTACTAAAGCCTTATAAGAAGGATAAATATTATAACTTAATCCTATGTTACAATCATATATATATATATATATATGCTACCCCCCCTCCAGGACCTACCTCGAAGCCTCTTCTTGTACTGTCTAGACGACGTCACGACTCCACTCCGAACAAAACTGTTATATACTGCGTAGTCTTCCCTGTCTACGACGACATTACACCGTTCGAACTAAGACAATACCACGAAGTATTGTCTACTGTCCTCTGTATGCTACGCTATTTCTGATGTTCCTTTTTTGAACCGTGATCTATAGGGCATACTAAAAGTTATTCTAAATAGTATCTTAAAAGGTATTCTAGAGGATATTCTACGAGGTATATTTGAAGATATTTGAGGTATTCTGAGGATATACTCCATAGGCGGTCTTCCGTAAGGATGTTATTCTATAGGTCATTCTATACGGTGTTCTAGAGGGTGCACCATAAGGTATTGTACAAAAGGCATTCTGCGGCCTATACGTAGGAAGGTATTCTATAGTGTATTTTATTTGAAATTCATTCAGGTGCATAGAGAGGGTATTTTATAAGGTAGTTGGGGTGGTCTTCTTGGTTCCTGATTTCTGAATAGGAATCCATTGCCCAAAAGCTGCAATTCAACTGGAAATTCTCAGATCTTGGGCTCCGCCTGGCTTTCCATATTTAAAGTCCGTACCTTTTAAGGTTTTCTATAAAGGATTCTAAAGGGTATCCTAAATGGTACCGTATATGTATTCTATATGGCATACATAAGGTACACAGGATGCAGCAAATAAAGGTGTTCTTCTTCAAAGTATCCTACAGTGTATTACACATGGTATTCTATAATGTGTATGTAGGGCAAATCGGTGGAATTGTATAAAAACATGCTATAAGGTAGTTTAGAAGTTGCATTCTATAGGATATGTGCAGCATGTGCTTCAGAAGAGTTTTGTTCTCTGTATGTATCCTTTGCCAAATAAGCATCGATTTTTCAAGGAATTTCTAGATCCTCTATTCCGCAGTTCCTTGATATAAATCCGTTGCCAAATAAACCACATTCAAGTGGGGAACTCTCAGATCTTGGGTGTACAAGGTGTATAGGGAATATAGAATATTTTATGAGGTACTATCGTATTCTACATGAGTTTATTTACCTTTTTGTAGAAAAGGTATTCTGTAAGGTATTCTACAAGCTGTTCTCCTTTATTCCTCATTTCTTTCATAAATGTCCCTTGCTCAATAAGCTGCATAAAGCTTGGGTTCCTTCTGATTTACCCTAAGTAAATCCTGATCTATACGGTTTCTGTCGGATATCCCAAAGGGGATTCTCAAGAGCATATACAAGGTATAAAGGGAGTATCATTCATAGGGTTTTTATAAGACATTCTGTAAAGTTTTCCAGATGGTGTTCTAAAAGGCTTGTGTAGGGTTTTGGGGTATCCCAAGCTGTAACGTATAAAAGGTATTCTATATAGGGTGTATATATAGGACAGATTTCTATGCGGTGTTTTATGAGTTACAGAGTCCATAAGGTATATACAAAGCATATACTGCATAAACTGTATATGGTACGACCTGAGTATTTTCTATGAAACTCTGGACGGGATAAGACACTAATCCATACTGAACTTTAAAAAATCTTCTTTTACAAGTAGGTTCCTGGTTTCCATCATGGGAACCCGTTACTCAATAAGCTACAACTCAGCTGAACATTCGCAAATCTTCGGCTCCGACTGATGTTCCATATTTGACATTTATCTGGAAAGTATTCGATAGGGTTATCTAATACGGGAGTCTACGAAGTATCCTATAAGATATTCTATGAGGTGCATATTGACAGGCTGTATAATACCTGGCGCCCTAAATTTTTACAAGGGAGGGGCGCGCCGACATGATCACAAGCATAGGGGGGAGTTAGGAGTACAGATGCGATCAAACTGTCAAGCACAGCAATCCGCTCGCTAATCTCCACTGCAGGTTTAGGGCCCTACGGTTTAGGGCGCCTGGGGATTAGGGCTCTACAGTTTAGGGCCCCTTGGGTTTAGGGCCCTACGGTTTAGGGCGCCTCGGGGTTTAGGGCTCTGCGGTTTGGGGCCCCTGGGGTTTAGGGCCTTACGGTTTAGGGAGTTGACCCGCCCCGGACTTAAAGCCTTACGTTTAAGTTTTGCCAACAGATGTGTGAAATCCCTGTCCCTTTATTTAATGCGGTATTTACAAGCTTTTTGCTCGGTGGCGGATCACTTCCGCCAGATTTTGCCCGGATCCCCGGCCGTTGTTTTGACGCGGTATTTACTCAAAACATCTGTCTTGTACAGCTGGGCCCCTCAAGGGGTCAAAACATCCAGCTTGCACGGCTAGCCTTTTCTAAGCTCAAAACATCTGTCTTCTATAGTTGGGCCCCTCCAAGGGTCAAAACATCCAGCTTGCAGGCCATGTGGCACATAAAACGGCAAACCGAAATGTTTCGTGAATATTTACACGGTTTCCAGCCACCTGGCTGCATTAAAACCAGCATTAAAACAATTAATGTAGCCCGGCCCGTGGAACCAAGAACCAAGAACCAAGTTTCCCAGGAGTCTTGAATCCTGAATCTTGGTTCGACGGGCACCGGCCGGGTTGCATTAAAATCTGCATTAAAGAATTAAATTTTAATGCAGCCCGGCCCGTGGAACCAAGAACCAAGAACCAAGATTCCCAGGAGTCTTGAATCCTGAATCTTGGTTCCACGGCCACCGGCCGGGTTGCATTAAAATTTGCATTAAAAAATTAAATTTTAATGCAGCCCGGCCCGTGGAACCAAGAACCAAGATGCCCAGGAGTCTTGAATCCTGAAGCTTGGTTCCACGGGCCTGGGTGCATCAAAATTTTAATTTTTCTAATGCAGATTTAATGCAGCCCGGCCGGTGCCCGCGGAACCAAGATCCAAGATTCAAGACTCCTGGGCATCTTGGTTCTTGGTTCTTGGTTCCACGGGCCTGGCTGCATTAAAATTTAATTTTTTAATGCGGGTTTTAATGCAGCCCGGCCGGTGCCCGCGGAACCAAGATCCAAGATTCAAGACTCCTGGGCATCTTGGTTCTTGGTTCCACGGGCCTGGCTGCATTAAAATTTAATTTTTTTATGCGGGTTTTAATGCAGCCCGGCCGGTGCCCACGGAACCAAGATCCAAGATTCAAGACTCCTGGGAATCTTGGTTCTTGGTTCCACCGGCCTGGCTGCATTAAAATTTAATTTTTTAATGCGGGTTTTAATGCAGCCCGGCCGGTGCCCGCGGAACCAAAATTCAGGATTCAAGACTCCTGGGCATCTTGGTTCTTGGTTCTTGGTTCCACGGGCCTGGCTGTATTAAAATTTAATTTTTTAATGCGGGTTTTAATGCAGCCGGGCCTCTGGTATAGTCATGTTCGTATACACTAATCTTCGTACACCCAGGTCCATGTTGCGTGTGTGTGTGTGTGTGTGTGTGTGTGTGTGTGTGTGTGTGTGTGTGTGTGTGCGTGTGTGTGTGTGTGTGCCTAGGTGATGGGGTATGGTATCCTGTGTGTAGGCCGACGGGTTTGGAGGTAGGTCCTGGGGGGGGGGTACCATATATATATATATATATATATATATATATATATATATATCATACATATATATGGTAATATATGGTCACGCGCTCCGCGGCCCCCCCCCCCCCCCCCCCCCAATGGTCAATGGTCCTGGATAGGGTGGCTCCCCCCCCGCCTGTGGTGTGGTGTGGGGTGGGTTTTCTGTGGCTTTCTCGTGGTTCTGGAGGCCCGCCCCCCCTCCCCCTGTGGTGTGGGGTGGGCTCGTGGTTCTGGAGGCCCGCCCCCCCTCCCCCTGTGGTGTGGGGTGGGTTGGTGGGGTGGTTGGTTCTGGTGTGGGGTGAATCCTCCTCTATTCCCCGTAGGACGTGCTGCGCGGTGCGCGTTGTGGTCGTGAAGCTTCTCCAACGTGCCAAACCACCTTGTGTGGGAGCGGATTTTCTTATTCTACGACGTTACTACGACGACGACGAGCTAGTATTACTATTATTATTGCGGCTGTGACGAGAGCAACTAGGACTACTGCTACTGCTGCTGCTGCTGCTGCTACTAGGACAAGTGACACTAGGATTACTGCTACTACCACTGCTGCTACTATTACCTTCACCACCACCACTAACGACAACAAGAAGTACGAGTACGACTAGTACTGCTATGACGAGAACAACTAGGACTGCTGCCACTGCTGCTGCTACTACTAGGACCAGTACAACGGTTACTGCTACTACTACTACTGCTGCTAGCTTCACCACCACCACTACGACGACAACGACGACCCAACGTCCTGCAGTTGGAGTGGCATGACTTCGGGACTCTTTTCTGAGACTGTTGGGCTCATGAAGGTGCTAGCATGGCCTTTCGAGGGTGCTGGCATGGTCGTGCGAGGGCTGAGGAAGCTGCTAGCATGCCCGTGGCAGGGCTGTGGAAGCTGCTAGAATGGCCGCGCGCAGGCCCTTCGAGAGATCCAAGGATTGAGAAGTGCTGATGGCTGTCAGTGCGGGGGCGGCCAATTTTTGCGGGCTTTCCCAGAGGCCAACAGCTGCAATGTGCTCATACTAGACCCTGCTCGTAAGCAGGCCCTGCTTTCCAAACCGCAGGCCTCAAAAGAGCTCATTTTCTGTGAGTTGGAGCGGTGGCTCGCAATAGGTGGCCATTTCTTCATCCGACCGAACATATCCGGCCTGGTCATGGTCGACCTAGACAACTACAAGGGCCAGCTGCAGACACTGCTGGCACTGAGACCGCGTGTGCTGGTTGAGACGTCCCCAGGATGCTATCAGCTGTGGTTGGTTCTGCCACAACACCTCCCAAGCAAGTCGGCCTTAGACGTTACACGAGAGCTTACCTCAGCACTGGGAGGGGACATGGCATCCGCCAAGGTCACTCAGGTAGGCCGGCTTCCCGGCAGTATCAATTGCAAACCTGCCAAGGGTTGCAGTGTCAGTATCTTGCACAGTGCAGTACAAGACATGGACGAGCAGTGCTACCTCGATTTAACTGCCAACCCGGTGCTTTCCGTGACACCGCATGGTATTCAAGTTGGGTCTGCAGCTCCTAAGAAGGCTGTCAAGCACCAACCCGGGCAAGCTGTCCAGCCGAAAGAGTCCCATGCGGATCGGAGCGCTGAGGACTGGAAGCTGGCATGTCAGTATTTCGAGCAGCATCCAGGCGCGACAATCCAGGAAGCAGCAGAGGCTTGTCACTTCCAAGCCCAGCGGCCTAATCCGAAGTACTATGCTGATTTGACACTGCGCAAAGCACGGGAGCATGTCCGCGGCAAATGTGCTCTACCTGGCAAGCCTGCTTCGGCCGCTGTTGTGGATTCGTCGCACCAGGAGGCATTTCAGCTTAGGCTGCTTTTTCTTGTAGGGTTATAGGTCTCAGATTTGCGGGCTTTGGGTGGAGAGTTCCCCTGAAAGCTTCGGTAGACAGCCAGTACTATCTGCCGGCCAGGCCCCAGCAAACGTTGGACAAGATATCCAAGCCATTCTGGAAGAGTACGTTCCTCGCCTGGTGCAGCAGGACAAGATCTGCAGGAATGTCCTGCTCTCCCTTCGTTCCATTGATAGTATGCTACTGCTCTACTATACTGTCCTATGTCCTATGTTGTACTATACTATATCTTACTATACTAGAGTATTCTTTGCATCGGATGAACTTCGTCAGATTTGCCTATCTCAGTTAACTGCATCGGACCAACTTCGTCAGAATTGAAACATCCATCCGACATGCTTGGAAGATATACTCAACACATGCGAATTCGTACAGATTCGCAACAATTAGTACATATCATTGTGGAAACTGCATCGGATCAACTTCGTCAGATTTGCCTATCTCAATTAACTGCATCGGACCAACTTCGTCAGAATTGAAACATTCTTCCGATATGACTGGAAGATATGTTCAAAACATGCGAATTCGCACAGATTCGCAACAGTTAGTCCATATCATTGTGGAAGCTGCATCGGATCAACTTCGTCAGATTTGCCTATCGCTTGTAGTTGTCTGTGCAAGGGGAATGGCTCGAATCCTTTTGGTCCTACACAGGCCACTAGCTTGTTAGCTAATACGGCCATAGTTTGTTATGCCAACGGTAGCAATTTCCGATCGTCCTGCTTGCTTGCTTTGCACTGCTTCGATCTACGATTGGTTGCCCAGGGCTTTGTGATCGAGAGTTAAGTGGATTCCTCCACTTTTCACGGCTTTGAGACCGAGAGTTGAGTGGATTCCTTTGTTTTTCACACAAATGATGAGACAAGGTCCGGTGTCGTCTTCCTGGCATAGCGCAGGTGCCGCTTCATAGCCTCACGCATCGCTTGGCCTCCCCATGGATGATGCCACGAAGCTGTAGATTCTTCCAACGACTTTCGAAGGTTTGCCCAGCCAGATTACATCACCGGCGGTAAGGGTGTCGGCAAGTGTCGGACGTCTATGGACCCGGGTAACATGCGAGGATTTAGGCTTGAAGGCTAAAGGGTTTAGGCTTGAAGGCTTAGGGTTAGGAATATAGAGCCAAGCACAGTCAAGCCGCGTTTTCCTGGGCGGGTATGGCCCTCATGATCAGGGCCAATAACGCCAAGCACACGAAGGCGGAAGTTCTTCAACCCATTTTCATCTCTGTAAGATTGCAAGCTCTCACTGGGCAGGGCGGCAGACTTTACTGTTCTTGGCACGTTCTTGCAGATTGGCATAGATGGGCAACGATTAGTCCATATCAACGTCAAACCTGCATCGGATCAACTTCGTCAGATTTGCCTTTCGCAGTTAACTGCATCGGACCAAGCTCGTTTGACTTCAAAAAGTCATTTGACTTGGTTGGAAGATACATGCGAATCATTGCGAATACATCAAGACCATATCATATCATCTACTATCCTATACTGTGCTATCCCCACACGATACTGTACTATACTACAAGCCCATCGTATCATGCTGAGTCCCTCCCGGCACGATAGGAGATTGGCCGTCGCTTGCCTCAGCTGGCAGAGCGGGTATCTAGCAGGATCTGCTCGGAGTGCAAGCAGCGGAAGGATCAGGCCTTGTTTTCCCGGACGGAATGGGCCAAGAAAGACTCCGTCTCCCGTTGCCTCGAGTGCAAGCCAGTGGATGCCAATCTGCAGAAGCGTGCCAAGAACAGTAAAGTCTGCGCTGGCTGCAATGTGGACACTCCTCGGGCTGGCTTTACCAAAACGCAGTGGGCCGCAGGCGTGAAGTCCAAGTGCCAAAAATGCGTTGAGACAGCTGCCCTGGAGCAGTGCAAGCTGACCAAGACTTGTGCTACTTGTGGCGTGGTGAAACCCAAGGCTGATTTCAATACTTCCCAATGGCAGCGAAGTAAAGCCAATGGGAGTCAGTGCTCAGCCTGCTCACAGAAACGCCTCAAGGAGACCCACGATCAGCTGGTGCAAAGATCGGTGCAAAGCTTAGCCGCTGCGAATCCGGACGAAGGCGATGTGCCTGACCAAGGCGAGGCTGCGCCTGATAGAGGCGAGGTTGCCAAGTGGATCTTGCAGGGGCCGCTCGAGGCCCTGCCCAGTGAGAACCTGCAATCTTACAGAGCTGTCCTTGCTCAGCAGGGGCGCAAGAACTTCCACCTTCGTATGCTTGGCCCTGATCATGGGGGCATACCCGCCAAGGAAAAAGCGGCTTGACTGTGCTTGGCTCTATATTCCTAACCCTAAGCCTTCAAGCCTAAACCCTTAAGCCTAAAAATCCTCGGATGCTACCCGGGGCCCATGCCTGTCCAGGTTGCGTTGCTGCAGGCTGCACATGAAGATTGTAGCCACACCGGCGGACGTCACGCGGTCATCCGGGCCATGAAAGAAGTGGGTCCCAAGTTGCAGCTAGAATCTGCTTCTTTGCTCTCGTAAAACTTTTCGATTCGACAGGGTGTATAGGGCTTTTTACATCAGACAGGAAAAACTTGGAACAACATTGCCCTCGATGCAGATTGGATAGTTCGACGCTGTGAGCTCTGCCGCTCCAACAGCACGCGTGAGATGGGAAAGGCAGACGTCCGACACTTGCCGACGCCCTTACACGCAGGTGATGTCATCGGCTGGGACCTAAAAACAGTGACCCCGCATGATGAGCCGAAGTGGTCTATGCTTCTCGCGCTCGATTTCACCAGCGGGAAGACTTGGACGTGGGCTCTGGATTTCGGTGAAGCCACGGCCGTCAAGGTCCAGGAGCTGATGCTCAAGTTGTATGCGGACAACGAACTCCCAGCTATATGCTGGACTGACAATGGTGGCCAGTTCCGCAACCTGCTCACGACTGCCATCGAGGCCACACTGGGAGTCCGTCCCCGAACGATCCCGCCAGGACGCCCCCAGGCAAACGGGCTGGTGGAATGCCACAACCGGTTGCTAGACCTGGCGCACGCCGGACAGAGGAGCCGCCTCCTCGCGGCGACGGTGGCTGTAAACTCCCGCATCCATCAGCGGTATGGCGTCAGCCCAGAAAGCTTGTGGCGCTCACTGCGACCCACCGAAAGTCGTTGGAAGAATCTACAGCTTCGCGGCATCATCCATGGGGAGGCCAAACCCATTTCCGAGGCCGACTGGCTACGTTTCCTCGATGAGAGCCAGGCTGGTCTCACGCCAGAGTACGTGCAGCAGGCAGCTGAGGCGCTTCACAAGGCCGTGGCCCCAATTGCTGGCGCCCTCAACAACAAGAAGATGCGTGAGGCCATGAAGCGGCACCTGCGCTATGCCAGGAAAAGGACGCATCGCAGCACTATGCCGCTGGTGTCGGGCGACCGTGTCATCGCACGCAACAGCCAATACACGACGAAGACCGGGCGTGGCAAGTTCGAGACCCTGGGCGGTGAAGTGCGAGAGTTCACAGTCCTCTCAGTCTCGCAGGGTTTCGTGAGCCTCAAAGACAACAAGACCGGTGCTTGGATTTCGCCATCATGTTTTTCGCTTCTTCTCACTACGACGTCTCCTGTATTTACTAAAGAAGCCTACCTGTGAGTGCCACCTGCCTCTTGCCTCTGCCAGCTCTAGTTCAGTCTTGCCTGCTGTTGTAATTTGTATGTTTTGTTAAAAACGAAACGTTTTGGCTCACGTGCCTTGTTCTAGCTACTAGGCGCACCAAGTGTGCACGGCTGTACTTCGGTGTAGCTCTGCAAGCTGCACGCCTGCGGTCGGTCACGCGAAGCAACAACAGTTGGGGTGCTGTGCTTGCCCCTGCAGCGTAAGACCAGCTAGCACGATTCACATACCTATACTATTCCTTAGGGTTCCCTATTACAACCATATTATAAAGAAGCCCAAAACCCTATTCTAATTACTAAGGCCCTTATTTGTAATTATTTGAGGCACATCGCTGCCTGTTGCCCTCTCAGGTCACGAGTGTGTCAGACACGAAGCCAGTCTCAAGCTCATGCCAATCCAGCTGGAGGCGGATGACACAGTGCCTACACCACCTCGTCTGCGCACGCCTGATTCCGCAAAGCGTCGACGGGCACCCGACTTCGACCCTTGGATTCGCATCAAGGTCATGGCGGATGGCGCCTGCCTTTACAGGGCCTTGCACATGGGCATGCAGCTGCGTGGTGGCATCGCAGCCGAGGCTTTGCAGGACAGACACCGTGTCTCAGAGAGCGAAGTTAACTATAAGGCACCTAAAATGGCCTTTGGACAGGACGACGACGCTGGCGCGCAGAGCCTGCGTAGCCAGGTCTGCTGCTGCATGCAGAAGTACCTGGACTCCCTGACGCCCGGACGCCTGCGCCAGGTGACAGAGGCCGTCTGCGTGGAGCCTCTGTGTGATTTAGAGCTTGCTTCTTCGGATGCCATGTCGGACAACGGTTTGGGGTTTAGCGTTTCGGGATAATTATGTGGTTTTTGGCGGTCCGGCGAAATGACAGAGCACCCAAGGAGATGATGGACGATCCACTGTGGACCCAAGAACACCAAGGAGGGTTCAACTGGGGCACATACTTTGCGTACGCCATGAAGCCGCGCACGTACGGCACCTTCTGCAATCTGGCGGCGTTTGTGCGGATGTCTGGCATCCCTGTCGAAGTCTACTCTTGGCGCGACGGCTTGGAGCTTGTGTGGACTGAGAACAACGACGGGGTTGCTGGAGGCCGTCCAATTGCACTGCTGCGTGGGAATGTGCACTTTGATCTACTCGCTCTGAAAGAGCCGGGAACCTCGCTTCCCATCAAGCCTGGTCCAAAAGCCAAGGCCAAAGCAAAGGCAAAAGCCAAGGCAAAGGCCAAAACAAAGGCCAAAGCCAAGGCTGCAGGCATCCGTAAGGCGAGCTTGAAGCGATCCTAGCCAAAAGGCGTATCTGTTGGGGCTTTGGGCGTTGGGTTTTCTCATAGTTTAAACTCGAAGGATATAGGAATCTGGAAACTTGATAATTAGGGTTCAGAGGCGATTTGAGGCATAAGACGAGTCCAGGAATCTCAGGCGAAGCCTAGAACATCCTAGAACCTCCGACCCCCGACAACTTACCCAACAGTACAGAACCAATCATGAGGCCCCAAGAAGAACCGGTGCAGTGAAGGGTTTTGGGTCTGGTGAGGGTCTAACAATTTGGGGTCAAGTACTATAGCCCCGACAAGGGTTTACTTTGCGGTTTACACGTCTGCTGATGTCTAGTATTCAAGTCAGGGTTAGGGGTTGAGGGCTTCGTACTTTCATACCGTTTCCTGCCCCGTGTCCTGCCCCATGTGCTTCTGAAGCCTTGAGGATTTATAAATAGAAAAAATAGAAACACGGTACAGGCGTCTGGCTGCTTATGTGGGAAACATGTGGGGTGCGGCGGCAAGTCTGGCTTGCGCGGGAAATCGAAACAAGATTAAAACGCGGTACGAAGGGAGGGTTTAATTCGCATCGCGTTGCGGAAATACACATCTTTCGGCGACCACTTTGCGGCTAAGCATTTCGGAGCCCGGTTTGGCATACATCCAAACATCAGCCGTGATGGCCCTACCAGAACCCTGGTAAACCCTTTCAAAGGCCCTCGGCTCTTTTGGAGGCCTAAACTGCAGAGGCTTCTTGTTTTGGCAGCTAATGCCTGAGGTTTTGCATCCAAAAAGCCGTTCCGCTTCCTAAGGGCCGCGTTTTGGTGCTTGGCCCCGGTTTTCCAGGGAAATACAGAATCGAATAGGTTTTCTACCATTTCACTGCGTCTAAGTGGCGTTTGACGAGCTTGTGGTGTATGTTTGGTGACGTTGTTGTAAGATGTGATAGATGCAGCTGCAGTAGTGCAACAACAGAAACCAGCGTCACCTTCGTGATTCGCCACAAACGCGCATCCAAATGGCAGCAGTCTGTGCCGAGATCACTGGTGTCCGCGAGGTTTCGTTAGGTTTCGTTAAGTTGGCAACGACTAACAAAATCCAGCGTTCGGGATTACGGTTGGTGTGATGTGTAATTCCGGCACTGATGTGTGGTTCCTTGAAAACAGTGTCTACATGGGGTGATGCATATTTCTGCACCCTGATGTGTGTTAAACCCCCCGGTGCGCGCATGTGGCCCCCGGCCCTACCAGAACCCTGGTAAACCCTTTCAAAGGCCCTCGGCTCTTTTGGAGGCCTAAACTGCAGAGGCTTCTTGTTTTGGCAGCTACTGCCTGCGGTTTTGCCTCCAAAAAAGCCGTTCCGCTTCCTAATGGCCGCGTTTTGGTGCTTTGGCCCGGTGTTCCAGGGAAATGCAGAATCGAATAGGTTTTCTACCATTTCACTGCGTCTGAGTGGCGATTGACGAGCTTGTGGCGTGGCACTGATGTCTGGTTCCTTGAAAACAGCGTCTACATTGGGTGTTGCATATTCCTGTGCCCTGCTGTGTGTTAAACCCCCCGGTGCGCGCATGTCGCCCCCCCCCCCCCCCACCCTATCCGACCATACCATGGGGGGGGGGGGGGGGGGGGCTGGGAACGCCAGACGCCTGACCATATATGGTACCCCCGCCCCCCAGGACCTACCTCCAAACCCGTCAGCCTACACACAGGATACCATACCCCATCACCTACGCACACGCACACACACACACACACACACACACACACACACACACACACGCACACACACGCAACATGGACCTGGGTATACGAAGATTAGTGTATGCGAACATGACTAGACCAGAGGCCCGGCTGCATTAAAACCCGCATTAAAAAATTAAATTTTAATGCAGCCAGGCCCGTGGAACCAAGAACCAAGAACCAAGATGCCCAGGAGTCTTGAATCCTGAATCTTGGTTCCGCGGGCACCGGCCGGGCTGCATTAAAACCCGCATTAAAAAATTAAATTTTAATGCAGCCAGGCCCGTGGAAGCAAGAACCAAGATTCCCAGGAGTCTTGAATCTTGGATCTTGGTTCCGTGGGCACCGGCCGGGCTGCATTAAAACCCGCATTAAAAAATTAAATTTTAATGCAGCCAGGCCCGTGGAACCAAGGGTTCCCAGGAGTCTTGAATCTTGGATCTTGGTTCCGTGGGCACCGGCCGGGCTGCATTAAAACCCGCATTAAAAAATTAAATTTTAATGCAGCCAGGCCCGTGGAACCAAGAACCAAGAACCAAGATGCCCAGGAGTCTTGAATCTTGGATCTTGGTTCCGCGGGCACCGGCCGGGCTGCATTAAAACCCGCATTAAAAAATTAAATTTTAATGCAGCCAGGCCCGTGGAACCAAGAACCAAGAACCAAGATTCCCAGGAGTCTTGAATCTTGGATCTTGGTTCCGTGGGCACCGGCCGGGCTGCATTAAAACCCGCATTAAAAAATTAAATTTTAATGCAGCCAGGCCCGTGGAACCAAGAACCAAGATGCCCAGGAGTCTTGAATCTTGGATCTTGGTTCCGCGGGCACCGGCCGGGCTGCATTAAAACCCGCATTAAAAAATTAAATTTTAATGCAGCCAGGCCCGTGGAACCAAGAACCAAGAACCAAGATGCCCAGGAGTCTTGAATCTTGGATCTTGGTTCCGCGGGCACCGGCCGGGCTGCATTAAATCTGCATTAAAAAATTAAAATTTTGATGCACCCAGGCCCGTGGAACCAAGATTCAGGATTCAAGACTCCTGGGCATCTTGGTTCTTGGTTCTTGGTTCCACGGGCCTGGCTGCATTAAAATTTAATTTTTTAATGCAAATTTTAATGCAACCCGGCCGGTGGCCGTGAAACCAAGATTCAGGATTCAAGACTGATGGGAATCTTGGTTCTTGGTTCTTGGTTCCACGGGCCGGGCTGCATTAAATTTTAATTTTTTAATGCAGATTTTAATGCAACCCGGCCGGTGCCCGTCGAACCAAGATTCAGGATTCAAGACTCCTGGGAAACTTGGTTCTTGGTTCCACGGGCCGGGCTGCATTAATTTTTTTAATGCTGGTTTTAATGCAGCCAGGTGGCTGGAAACCATGTAAATATTCACGAAACATATCGGTTTGCCATTTTATGTGCCACATGGCCTGCAAGCTGGATGTTTTGACCCTTGGAGGGGCCCAACTGTAGAAGACAGATGTTTTGAGCTTAGAAAAGGCTAGCCGTGCAAGCTAGATGTTTTGACCCCTTGAGGGGCCCAGCTGTACAAGACAGATGTTTTGAGTAAATACCGCCTCAAAACAACGGCCAGGGATCCGGGCAAAATCTGGCGGAAGTGATCCGCCACCGAGCAAAAAGCCTGTAAATACCGCATTAAACAAAGGGACAGGGAATTCACACATCTGTTGGCAAAACTTAAACGTAGGGCTTTAAGTCCGGGGCGGATCAACTCCCTAAACCGTAAGGCCCTAAACCCCAGGGGCCTCAAACCGCAGAGCCCTAAACCCCGAGGCGCCCTAAACCGTAGGGCCCTAAACCCAAGGGGTCCTAAACCGTAGAGCCCTAAACCCCAGGCGCCCTAAACCGTAGGGCCCTAAACCTGCAGTGGAGATTGGCGAACGGATTGCTGTGCTTGACAGTTTGATCGCATCTGTACTCCTAACTCCCCCCTATGCTTGTGATCATGTCGGCGCGCCCCTCCCTTGTAAAAATTTAGGGCACCAGGTATTATACAGCCTGTCAATATGCACCTCATAGAATATCTTATAGGATACTTCGTAGACTCCCGTAATAGAATACCCTATAGAATACTTTACAGATAGATGTCAAATATGGAACATCAGTCGGAGCCGAAGATTTGCGAATGTCCAGCTGAGTTGTAGCTTATTGAGTAACGGGTTCCCATGATGGAAACCAGGAACCTACTTGTAAAAGAAGATTTTTAAAGTTCAGTATGGATTAGTGTTTTATCCCGTCCAGAGTTTCATAGAAAATACTCAGGTCGTACCATATACAGTTTATGCAGTATATGCTTTGTATATACCTTATGGACTACCCTGTAACTCATAAAACACCGCATAGAAATCTGTCCTATATATACACCCTATATAGAATACCTTCTATACGTTACAGCTTGGGATACCACAAAACCCTACACAAGCCTTTTAGAACACCATCTGGAAAACTTTACACAATGTCTTATAAAAACCCTATGAATGATACTCCCCTTATACCTTGTATATGCTCTTGAGAATCCCCTTTGGGATATCCGACAGAAACCGTATAGATCAGGATTTACTTAGGGTAAATCAGAAGGAACCCAAGCTTTATGCAGCTTATTGAGCAAGGGACATTTATGAAAGAAATGAGGAATAAAGGAGAACAGCTTGTAGAATACCTTACAGAATACCCTTTCTACAAAAAGGTAAATAAACTCATGTAGAATACGATAGTACCTCATAAAATATTCTATATTCCCTATACACCTTGTACACCCAAGATCTGAGAGTTCCCCAGTTGAATGTGGTTTATTTGGCAACGGATTCATATCAAGGAATTGCGGAATAGAGGATCTAGAAATTCCTTGAAAAATCGATGCTTATTTGGCAAAGGATACATACAGAGAACAATGCACATATCCTATAGAATGCAACTTCTAAACTACCTTATAGCATGTTTTTATACAATTCCACCGATTTGCCCTACATACACATTATAGAATACCATGTGTAATACACTGTAGGATACTTTGAAGAAGAACACCTTTATTTGCTACATCCTGTGTACCTTATGTATGCCATATAGAATACATAAACGGTACCATTTAGGATACCCTTTAGAATCCTTTACAGAAAACATTAAAAGGTACCTTATAGGTACGGACTTTAAATATGGAAAGCCAGGCGGAGCCCAAGATCTGAGAATTTCCAGTTGAATTGCAGCTTTTGGGCAATGGATTCATTCCTATGAAGATATCAGGAACCAAGAAGACCACCCCAACTACCTTATAAAATACCCTCTCTATGCACCTGAATGAATTTCAAATAAAATGCACTATAGAATACCTTCCTACGTATAGGCCGCAGAATGCCTTTTTGTACAATACCTTATGGTGCACCCTCTAGAACACCGTATAGAATGACCTATAGAATAACATCCTTACGGAAGACCGCCTATGGAGTATATCCTCAGAATACCTCAAATATCTCAAATATACCTCGTAGAATATCCTCTAGAATACCTTTTAAGATACTATTTAGAATAACTTTTAGTATGCCCTATAGATCACGGTTCAAAAAAGGAACATCAGAAATAGCGTAGCATACAGAGGACAGTAGACAATGCTTCATGGTATTGTCTTAGTTCGAACGGTGTAATGTCGTCGTAGACAGGGAAGACTACGCAGTATATAACAGTTTTGTTCGGAGTGGAGTCGTGACGTCGTCTAGACAGTACAAGAAGAGGCTTCGAGGTAGGTCCTGGAGGGGGGGGGGGTAGCATATATATATATATATAGACATACATAAACACCCTTACCTTGTACAACCCCTATACTTTGGATCTATGTTAACTCTTACAGAAACCCAAATCCTCTAAACCCTGAAGCTTGAAACCCTAAAGCAAAACCCTCAGGTGTCTTGCTGCATGTGCTGCAGATACCATGTGTCCGGGCCACAGGTGCAACAGTGATATGCTGCATTTTCGTTTTGTCACAGCATGATAAACAAATGCATCAAAACACGCTTTCTATTTTGTGGCCCTTTTGGCATCATGGCCCCAAAGAATAAGGCCAAGGCTGCTCCGAAGACGGAGCCGAAAGCTAAGAGGACCAAGTCGACCGGTGCCTTGGTGATTGGAGATGATCCCACACCGGTGGAGATGAAAGCCAGCATTCAGAGGATGCTGAATCTTGTGAAGTACAAAGCCGACCCCGTGAGAAACAAGAGTGGGGAGTGCCATAGCGAAGCCCAGCAAGTGCTGGAGGCCGGGTTGCAATTCTCCATTTGCTATGCACATGTTTTTTGGGGGGTATTGCATGTGCCAGGCCTACCGGCAGATCGCCGACTCGGACCGAAAGGGCTTCATCGCTGCCTACCAGAAGAATGGCCTTAAGGACTGAAGTGGCTGGGCCAGTACACCAAGAAGGTTGTGAAGGAGGAAGGCGAGGAGGATGTCTCTATCAAGGGCATGATGACAGCGACTCTTAGATTTTATTTTATCTAGGTTGCTTGCATGGTCATTTTGTTTTTAATGTTTTGTTTTGCAATGCCGCTGAGGTCGCGAATTTTTGACCTGAATGGCCTCAAGATCAGCGACTTCCTCCAGGAATCCGAGGAGTTCTGGGGGCACGAGAGGAACCTGGTGAAGCACAAGATGCCCGAGCTCTGCCGGTACTTTTACCGGACCTTGGTGCAACCCGATCGACCGAGTCAGGCACCTTCGAAATGACTGCTAGCCTAGCAGCGAAGGAGATGAAATGCCTGCAGAACAGCAAGGGTGAGGTGAAGTTGGAGCACCCCGAGCGGACCGAGCTGAGCAACCTGAGCAAAGTGGCCAACAGTGCAGTCAAGAGCCTGGATGCCAAGCATGGAGAGTTGAGCTCGGAATGCATTGCTCTCGAGAATTGCCCCAAGCTCGCTAGCAAAGCGCCGGAGGTCCGGGTTACCCTGGATGCTCTGAGGAAGTTTGTGGAGGATCTTCGAAAGATCCAGGTCCTGCTGGATCGCAAGCTTCCCACGATGGACGAGGCAGCCTGCAAGAACGAGAAGGCCGAGATGGAGCAGTGGAACCGCAATGCCAATGAGCATCTTGACAATGTGAAGTTGTTGCTGAAGAAGGTTAGGGGCTGGCAGGCCTAGGATCCATCGAGCATGGATCTGGATAGCATGCAAGCAGCATTTTGCTGCAGTTTTGCCAAAGCAGCTTTGAGTCGATCCACGGCAGGCGAACTTAAAAAAAAAAACAGTGCTTTGCAGCCGCGAACAGCATGCACTATACATATTGTTTTTGCTGAATGTTTTCTGCTTGCAGCCAGACAGGGCCCTTTGCATGCAAAAGGGCGAGTGCAGAAGGAGCTCGCAGACTTCAGCCGACAACTGTGCTAGCTTGCTGTGATTGCAATATATGTTGCAGGGTATAGGTGCTCAAGTTTCTGAAGTTTGTTTCACTTCTGGAGCTGCATGTGAAGCCATGTACTCCAAGAACAGTCGTGGTTACAATGAGGAAGACGTGCCTGAGAAGAAAAGGTTTCGGGCCAATCTTTCGGATGCTTTTTTGTCTGGGCAGATCACAGCTGCCAGGACAGCTTCCCTTTTCAAGGATGCTCAATCTTCTGGTGCCAGTGGTGTGGACGACTTGGCCGCTGTACAAGACAAGAATGCAGCCAGAAGCCTAAGAAGGAAAATGTTGAAGGGGTCCCACTGGCCAGACTGCTACTATGCCGACATAGAGCTGCATGACCCCAAGCTGCAGGAGAACCGCCAGGTCTCCTTGCCGTTTTTGCTTCCCCATGAAATTCTGGGGAAGAAGTTTGAATTTGGTGACTGAGCCTGGATCCTGAGCCAGGATGTGCTGCAAGAGGATGCTGAGCTGATTGAGAAGTTTTCTTTGTCGTGCCAGCCAGCGAGAGATCCAGCGACAATTCTGCCACTGGGGCTCTGGAATGACGGGGTGCCTTGCAATTGGGACAGGTCCCAAAGCTTGGAAGTTATAGCTCTAAGTTTCGAATCCATTCCTGGCCTTCGAGTGCCGCTGTTCTGTCTGAAGAAGATGTTTGAAGCCAAGAAGTGTACCATGGATGCAGCCATGAAGGTTTTGGTGTTGAGTTTCGAGCAGCTGGCTCTTGGAAGGTATCCTTCTCGAAGGCATGATGGCAGCCCCTTCGATTTACGGGTCGACAAGGCACGTCTTCGTCTAGCTGGGTCAGATTTGCCAGTTGCATGTTTGACACAAATCAGGGGCGACTGGAAAATGTTCAAGGATACCCTTTCCCTGCCTGCACACAACGAAAACAATGGTTGCTGCTGGCTTTGTCCCATGACACCCGATAAAGTGCACGAGGTGGATTTGCAGGCCTCCTGGAGACATCAATATTTTGATCAGGAGATCTTTATCATGAGGTGCTGGGAGGAGCACAGGTTCATGAGTGCTGTGTGGCAGTTTCCAAATTTTTGTCTCAAGGTCATCAGGTTGGATTGGCTGCATATTATGGATTTGGGTTGTGCTGCAGATGCTGCTGGGACTGTTCTGTACCACCTGCAAAGCAAGATGTTCCAATATTACCAAGCGAACTGGGGAGCTCTACAAAGAGATTTCGCAGGAGTACAAGAACCAGGGTGTCGCATCCGATCGACTGGCCACATTGACAGAGACCATGTATCGCAAGGAAGCTGGAAACGCTCCAAAGCTCAAAGCCAAAGGTGCAGAAACCAGAAAGTTGATACCTATTTTGGATGCTGTGTGCCGAAAGTTTTTGGACAGCTCAGGGGATCTGGATTCGGCAGTTTTGGCTTGCATCTCTTTGCTTTTGGCATGCTATGCTGCTCTGGATGTCGAGCCCTACGACCCCAGCCTCATGGAGCGAGAGGCCAGAAGGTTTGCTTTGCAGTATGTGTCTTTGACGGATCACTTTGGTGACAATATCGCCTGGCGAGTTAAACCGAAGCTTCACCTCCTCCTGCACCTTTCGCAGAGCCCTACATGTCCAAAGGACATCTGGTGCTATCGAGATGAAGATTTCGGAGGAGCTACTGCAGCCATGGTAAGGGCCAAAGGCGGCCACAACACTCCGGGAAACTCTTCCCAGCTTTGTCTTGGACAAATTCAAAGCCAGAAACACCCTGCCTGTGCTGGCTGCTTGAAAATGATTGAGCGAGTGCAGACTGCATGCTTTGATTGATTCTAGGATTTAGGATAGGGTTAACGGCAATTTTCTGGAGCCTGCCTCCAGCAAAATCTGTCAAACTTGCTGTTTTACTTGAAAGCTGTCAGCCTTAATTAAGAGACGTACTTTCCATGCTTATTTAAAGCTGAAAGCTTTAAATTTTCATTAAAACACCTTTTATAATGTTGAAATAAAGGTTATAAGCTTTAAAAAGAGTTTAAAGCTTTATATAAGCATGAGGTTTACGCCTGATAGGGAAATTTAAGCACGTCACCTTATTTAAAGCTTATTGGAGCTTCAGGGTAAACGACCCGCGCAAGGCCGTAGTTCCGCTTCCTCCCATTTAGTCCACCACGCAGCTCCTCATGTCGTCCCAGACCCCCCTTCCCACCCCGAGGTGGCGGGTCTTAGTCTTGGTAAACGACCAGCGTCAGGCCGTAGCTCCGCTTCATTCCATTTCGGCCACCACGAAGCTCCTATGTCGTTCCAGACCCCCCTTCCCACCCCGAGGTGGCGGGTCTTGGTAAACGACCCGTGTAAGGCCGTAGTTCCGCCTCTTTCCATTTCGTCCACCAAGCAGCGCCCCTCATGTCGTCCCAGACTCCCCTTCTCTCCCCGGTTTGTTAAATCCCGGCCGTAGCTCCGCTTCTTCCATCGCGTCCACCACACAGCGCTCCCCAAGTCGTTGCAGACCCGCTTCTAGCTCCGAGATCGGGGACCTGGGTAAACGACCCGCGCACGGCAGTAGCTCCGCTTCTTTCATTTCGCATTACGCATCGCTCCTCACGTCGCTCCAGACACCGCTTCTCGCAAGGCCGTATAGTCTCGCTCCGAGAATGTACGACTCTCGTGAAGACGTAGCCGCAACCCCGGTTCTTACTTACCATTACATGCCAAGCCTTGGTTTCGAGTCCGGCTCAGCTGGGCCCCCCGCCTCTACGCGTCCGCGAGTGCATTCTCGTCCTTCCCCTTCTCCAGTTACCCCCCCTCTTCTGGCCCAAACCCCCCTTTCCGGGCTGATAACCCAGACTTGGGCCACTTCCGGCGGGTTTCAGGCTCCCCATTTCTTTCGGGAGCAGTCCGTGCCGGTCTCGGCCTTCGTTTCCACTTATAGTCCAGACTCTAGTTCAAGCCCCCTCTGGAACCTCCCGCGGAGGGGGCCGATGACGCTTGCGGAGGCCCTCCGAGATGCTGGGCGGGGAAGAGTGGTGGAGGTTGCGGTAATGTTGCAGGTCGAACCCTACCTACCATAGCATACTCCCTTTGGGCTAGGTGACCTAGACTTCCCATGAAAGTGGGACTTGCTTCTACCCTGTGATCTTGGCCTTGGGCTCTGTGATCTGCCACGGCCTCCTAGTCAGACCTGGAGACTTTGATGCAGGGGCACCGTACTTTCGGCCGTGAGACCTGGCGATACGGTCCCGGTTTTTGTGTTTTCTCTCTCTTGTGAGATCTTTGAGCGACTTAACCAGGAACTTGTACGTGTGTTGCTTTGTCCCCTCTGAAGCGCGATCATAAATTTCCAAGCTTCAGTCTCTTTGATTGCCTGAGCTCCCTGAGGAAAATGTCGCGCAGAGTGGTCTCGTCAGGCGTGTGGCTAAGACCCGACATCACGCTCTCCCAGTTGCTAACGAAGCTGGAAAGGTCATCGTTCAGAAGCCTAACTTTTAACAAATCCTCAACCGAATACAGGGAACCTACCTCCTCGTTCGTCTTGAAGGTACAGCACCTGTCGTCCTCGGACCGCCCTGAACTTGGCCGCTTCTGTCTCCTTAAAAATAAGGATTTCGCGGGACAGCTCTCCCCTAGCCACTTTGGTGAGTGCAGCAAGGAGTTTCGTATCGAGGGTGAGGAATTTCTCGGGGTCTCTTAAGGACTCATGACCAGCGTCTTTGTGGTAAGCCTGCATGACCCACTTGAAATCGTCTGGCGAGTCAGCGGCTGCTCTCACTGCTTCCCTCGTTGCCGTCTTCCAAGACAGGGTCACGATTCGGGGCTCGGGAACTCCGGAAGGCTTATGGACTCTGCTTCCTTCACTTATGGCTTGCCTCCATCTTCCCTAGGCTCACCCTTAAGGTTCTTGAGGCTTTGGAGGATAGCCATTTGTGTCTCTAGGAGACCTGTGTTGAAGACCTCAGACACTTGCGCGCCGAAATCGGCCGCTGGAGGGCCGCTGTTCCGGGCTGAGGTGCCTGTGAAGGTCCTGCTTTTGGTGTTGGTGGCGCAGTAGGGCTGTGCACTCAAACCTCCTGGGTTCATGGACTCGAACAGGTTCCTAGCACCCTGGGGAGAACACTAGGCATAGAGAACATTGGACTGAGGCGCCTTTGGGAAGACAGATGGACCTGCGGGCGTGCTCGGAGCAGGCATTGGCTGGCCCTTAGGGGCAGCTGGATTAACCTGATCCAAGACCTTTTCTAATGCTGTCTCGGCAGAATCCAATCTGTCCTGAAGCTCCTCGTTTTGTTCTCTGTACTCGCTAAGAGTTGCTTCGTATTCTTGCTGTTGCCTATTCCTGAAGGCTTCAAAGTTCGCGTGGAATTGTTCCAGCATGACTTCCTGCGAGTTTTCAGCGTGCTTTCTTGCCTGTTCTTCGAGGTTGTTCGCAAAGCGAGACTCTGCCAGTTGATGATCAAGTGCGTCTGTGATTCGGCTCTGTTAAAGGAATGCGCTTGGCTCAACGTCATTTCAGACAAACGAAGCTTTCACGAGAGGCAGCCTTGTACTCACTGGAGGCTAAGGCGGCTTGCAATTCAGCTACCACTTCAAGGTGATTGCATTCTGCTCTCTCCTGCAAGTCTGCTGTTTGAATTGCGGATGCTTCTTGGTAGGTCAGCATATGTTGCCTGTGTCTTGCTTCTGCTTGAGCTTCAAGTTCACCGACTTCTAGCCTGATCTGATTGACGTGAACTTCGACACTGTATTGACGTGCGAAGACGTTAAACTGTTGGACCGAGGCTGGGGCCTGGAAAACTAAGCCGGGGGCGCCTGTTCCTGTATGGCCACCCGTGACCGGGGGCTGTGTCGGATTCAAGGCGCTTGTTGTAGCCATTGCTGGGATAAGTTCCGGTTCGCTCACGCACTGAGTGTATTGTAACCAGTTGTGACCAGGCCGTAGGCTATACGGCTGATAACCTAAAGTTGTAGGAAACCACTGCACACACGCACTGACAGTATTTCCGTCCAAGTGTTAGCAGTTAGGCACAGCACGATACCATTGAGCATCTACCGTTTTCCTGCTAGAGCACTTGTGCCACAACGTCAACCACACAACATGCTACTTCGCACGTGCACAAATTACAGCGGTCTCTCCTAAAAGGGGGATCCGTTGCGCACAAGCTACACTGGCGGCATTTTTCTTTCTATGGCAGCAAAATGAAAACCCTCGTTCCCTCTCGGGCCTGGGCCAAAACATCTCCAGAGAAACACAAGTTGACTGCAAATTCTACTGATCTACAAGCACTGCCCACAAACACGGAGAAGGGTGAGATTCAGCTATCGAACAGAACCTGATCTATAGTTCTATCTATGGCATCTCTGGGTTCCGCCATGCCCTGCATATACCTGGAATGCGGACGGAAGCCCACCTCGAACACCCTGAACATGAAAAAACCAAAAACAAACTACATCTCCTCCCCTCCTCCTTCTGCAATGCTTTGCCATCCAGCTCCATTTTCGGGTTTGAAACAAAATCCAGGGGTCCCGCCAACAGGAGCGTTTGTTGCAAATCAATCATTTTCGGGGTTATGTAGGGTCCCCCTCTCATCTAGGAAGTGGCGACCACGCAATCGAACCAAACCCGTGCATAGATAGAAGAATGGGCTTAGTATAGGGAAGCACCCACAGCCCCAACCCACAAAAACCTCAGCAAGGTCTCCGGGCCTGAACTCCAAATTTTAAACTCTAAGCCGAAACCCTCAACCCTAAACCCCAATCAATCCCACCACCGCACTGGGGCCTAGGGTGGGGGTGTAAGCCTTAAACCCAACACCCTCAACGCTCAACCTCAAACCCTACACCACACAGGGGGGTGAAGGTGTAAACTCTATAATCCTGAAACCTGGAAAGCTATCTTTGTTCAAGCAGGCATAAGCATTCAGGAATTGCAACTCGATGCGAACGATGCTGTTCTTTGTCCACTTGCTGTAATCACTTCGCATTTATGAACAAGACTATACGGTACATGCTGCGCCTCTAGCTCGTCCCCAACTTTTCAAAGTCGAAGAACAAGTCGTCCCTGGTGCTCAAAACGAAAGTCTCTCCGCATACTTTGGCCAGTCAGCGCCACAGATCTATATCGAAACGCAGCTGGGGCTTTGTCCGGCGCTTTTCGTCAGGATTTTCGTTCCCGGACGCCTGCCAAATGCAGCACGCGGTTCTTCACATGCTGCGCACTCGAGAACGAGAAAATGCCGCTTACCAGCCCTTGTGAGCCTCCAGCTCATCCGACTCTGCAGCCGGGGCTTCGGCCGCTGTCCCTCCATTCTCAAAGGCACCTGCGACGCAATGAGTCGTATCATGTGACTAGACCGTACCTTTTACCCATTGCAGCCATCGCAAATCCTAATCAGCTGCTCCTTGACGTGCCTGAAAGCGATGAACCGAAATCAAAGAGCACAGCAGCTGCTTCGCTTCACAAGTGTTGGGAGTTGCCAGATGATAGGGTAGTACAAGGTTGAGCCAAACAGTTAAGGATTTCCAACTTTGCGGAGATGCCTCAATTTGGTGACCGCCACAGCAGCAGCCAAACAACTCGGCAAAGCAACCAGCGCAAACAGCCACCGTAGCTTCAAATTGCTCGGTGAAAAGCGCACTGTGCTTTGGTCTGACTAAACTGCCTATGAAATCGATGAAATCGGCTTCTGAACCACGCCTGCTCTGTTGGCTGTCTTGGTCATATGGCATATGGATTGCATTCTGTTGGCGTGCGAAGACAGAACCCAGAGCCGTGATAAGTGTTTTGATGCTATCTGCTAGCGTGCCTTTGTGCACTTGTCTGCGCTCATTCTGGAGCCAGCGCTGCGATGAGTCAAGACTGTCGCTGGATCGACGGGGCTGGCAGCATACTCACATCGTGGCCGCTCCCGGCAGGTTACAAGCATGGGCAAAGGATGCTTTGAGTCGAGGCGCATGCAAGAGATTTGGCCACAAAACGATCTAGCAGTTCCCTAACTCTCAGTGCAATCCTCTAGCCCAACGACGGCAGGGTCCACACAGTTCAGGAGTATCTGTGAGATATGCAGATACGCTGCGACGGCTTGCCCTTTTAACCCATACAAGAGCCGCGAAGCGTTCCTTAATTCTCGACGGGCGCAAGATCAAGGACGGACAGCGCACGTGGAAAGCTCTAGCGACTCTGGCGTTTGTCGGCTCACCTGCCATGAGGTTTCCCGTCCGCGTGAGGCTGTGCATGGCGGACATCTGTACATGATGTGTATTGGGTGTATTGGCTGGTGTATGCAGGCAAGTCCAACCGTGAGTACGAGTACGGCTGGACCATGAGCCATGGTGCATCTGGGATTGACACCAGTCGAGGTCGAAGGTTCAACCAACGCCCTGTGAATTTGAAGGCTCAAGCGGCCGGTGGGTCCACTCGGATAAGGATTGGGGACGCCCATTGGATCCTCCAGTCTGTACAGGCCTGCAGAGGAAGACAAAAGCAGGTACTGTTCGCATGCAAACTGCGGACACTGCGGTGTGGTCAGGACCTCACAGCGCTCAGATCGCCCGGGGAAGCACGTCCTGCCAGGAGTTCCAAGACGAAAGCCGCGCCTTTCCTTGGACGTCTTGGTTGTAGGACTGGCTGAAGATCACGTGCTTCCAAGGGCACGACTTGCTGCCCGAGATATGCGGCTTGTCATCAATGAGGATGTCTCCCATGACATGAGTCTTGTCCCTAGTGATGATCAAGCGATCCAGGAAGGAAGCTCCAAAAATGCGCTCGACAGAAGCGTACTTCTCCAGTGCACAAGTTCCAGGACAGCTTGGGTGCGGAGCTGTGACGAGCTTCACATCTACACCCCAAACCTCCACCAGGTCCCTCAAAGCCTCCACGGCGCCAGGCAGCGGCTTCAAGCTCTCGTAGAAGCCCGGCGATTTTAGTGCTTTCAGCACCTCTGTGCGCTCCGACTCGGGGAAGTTTTCCTCGATCTCGAACTTTGCACGACTCCGAACCATCCTCTCTAGCTCCTGCAAGTCACGGTTTCCGCGGTTTAAGCCGCTTGAAGCATAGCGACGGATAAACTCGGCATCCCAGTCGACAATGGTGTTGTCCATGTCGACGAGCACGGTGCGGCCCTTGAGCATCTCGCCCAAGGATGGCTCCTTTGAAGGAGCGGCCATGGCTCTCGCTGGCTGCGTAGTCACCGTGTCCAGGAGCTCCCGATAATGCTCACCCATTCGGCTGTAGCTGAACTGCTTCAAGACACGGGCCCTGCCCGCTGCACCCATCCTCTGACAAATGGCCGGGTCTCTGTACAGCTTCAGCACAGCTGCTCGGATGGCATCAGGGCTTCCAGGGGGCACCAGGTACCCTTCAACTCCATCTGTCACAGCCTCTGGGATTGCATCGATGCGGCTGCATACGACTGGTCGCTCGAAGGCCATGGCTTCACAGATGACCAGTGGCAAGACCTCGTTCAAGGATGGGACCAAAACGACGTCTGCGGCCATGTAGAATTGCAACACAGCTGCTTGGATGTCCATGACAGTGATCTGAGGCTGTCCACGCTCCTCTTCCGTCAGGTCCTCCCAACGCCTGCAAGAGACGCCATGGGCGGCCGCCACCTGAAAGATCTGGTCAATGTACCGAATCTCATGATCCCTGATGTACCGAGCGCCTACGATCAGCTGCTTTAGATTCGTGCAGCCATCCTCCTTGATGAGTTTGGAGCATGCTGTCGCCGAGAACATTTGCCCTTTTCTGCTGCAGACAGTACCCAGGTGCAGGACCACAAAGTCCTCGTCACTGTAACCCAGCGCCAACCTCACTTCTCGCCTGTCAAAACAAGCTTGAAGAAACAGTGGAGGAAACTACAAGCGCTAAAGTCGACGCTATCTTGTGGAGTTCTGCAATGGGGTACAGCTGTTCACTGAATGTGTGTCCGCATGATGCATTCCGTGCTCGCGAATTTGGTCGTGCCGCGTGCCTGTCTCTGGTTTGCTTGAAGTGGTCCAGCTGCTGCAAAGGGATGCCGTTGTAGATGGTCCTGCCGGCTTCCGGCTGGAACATGCCGTCGTAGAGGTGGCGTTGCATGTCGGAGGGGAAGATGATGTTCCCTGCAGCCTTGAAGGCCTTCCGGATGACCCTGGAGTCGATGTCCTTGCACATAAACACCTCCTTCGCATAGTGGTCCAGCTGATCCTGCGGCCAAGACTCGTGAATCACCCAGACGGAGGGAAGCTGAAGATCCGCCGCCATCAAAATAATGTCACAGCGCATGATGGTGTTCGCAAGGAGCATGCCAACCTTCAGCTCCTTCAGCGAAGCGGCGAGGTCGGAGAGAAAGGTGGGGGATGCGGTGTCGACGATAGAAACTTGCAGGCCCAGCTTCTCGAAGTCTTCCCTCATGGGTCCAGGCTTTGGGGAGAAGATGGTCAAAGGCTGGCTTTGCTTCAGGACCCTTGCGATGTAAAGGCAGAAGTTGTTCGCACCGTTCCTTTCAAGACTGTGGGTGAAGATGGCGCAGACGGGTCGATACGGATGGCCATGAAGAGGAAGGGCACGGAGCTCCTCCGAGGTGCACGGAAGATCCGCAGAGTCGAACTTTCGACTGTGCAGGATCTGCAGAAAATCTTCCATTGTCTCATTGGAAAGCTTATGCTTCAGGCAGGCCCCAAGCAGCTGTTCTGCACTCCAGGTTGCCTGCATGATGGGCAAAGGCTCCTGGACCTCGGTGCTCCTGCTGTTTGCGAGGGACTCTGTAGAACTGTTTGCCTCACGCCCCGTGATGCGAGACTCTGCCTCCTTGCTGGGGCTCTTGCCGAGTTTTTGCATGGCATGCAGGCGCCAGGCGGCATTCTCCAGCCGCCTTCCTTGGTAGCTCTCATCCTTAAGGGCGGTGAAGACCTTCCAGGAATTTAGGAGCTCGTCCGTGGTGCTTTCCGCCAGGACGTAGATGTCAGAAGCGAAATCCTGATCATCTTGCTCGCTGTAGTGGATGTCGTCACTTTCGGTGCTCAGAAGGGATGAGCTCTTCCACAGGTTGCTCGTCAGCCCCATCACCGCTATAGGCCAAGGCCGCTCAGGCCGCACTAAGGGACTAAGGGACCTAAGTGTGCTCCAGCGATCGGACGGTGATAGCCTTAGAGCCGACACGGGCGACGGGAGAGGCGCCCGGGCTGATGTTCATCCTGTGCCCTGTCTTGCGTCCTCTGCATACAAGCCAAGGCTTTGGTTTTGTGTTCTTCCTTTGACTCGCCACGGCAAGTCGATCCTGTCCTGTCGCAGCTCGGGTCAGCTCCGCTCGTTCTCCAGGCGGTCCGCATCGCTTTCAGCCAAATTCAACAAGTCGAGAAAGAGAATGACTATCGAGTTCTGCAAGTGCAATACAAAGCCCGAAAAATCGCATCATGAGCACATGCGCAAGCTGCACATGCGGCAAAGAACACCGCGAACATGTCAAACCAGGAGATCTGAAGCTTACTGGGTCCTTTTGCGAGAGGATGCCTCAAAGGTGGCATTGACACACACCCCTGGAGCAGTACAGAACAGCGCCCGGAATGCCAAAGGCTCCCTCCTGCTCTGACGGAACGGTGCACTTTTGTATCTCACGCAGGTGACCTTGCGGAAGTCCTGCCTAACACAGCATGCTTCTTTCATATTCCAGCCACCTCGCAATCTATGGGACCGTTATTCCCCGATTCTGACCACCGAAAGCTAGAGGATGTGACACCTGTCTGTGCGAAACATGCTGTCCTGGAAAATCTCTGGATTGCGCCACTTCTTCGGAAGAGGCCATAGAACACAGTGGCCAGTGACTGTGGCCTGTGATTGGATGGTGAATTTCGTGGCACACCGCCAGATTTGGCACGTTGACGGCTGCGAACTGCCTTCGCCCACAAGCTGCTTTTTGCGCACTCGACCATTTCGTGCAGAGTTGTAGTGCCGCCTCGCCTGGGCATTGGCTTGCATGTTGACCTGAGACACTTTATTTTGGAGGTCGGTCGCCATCTCGTGTCATCCGCAGGCAGCGGATTGCGACGAACAAAGCTAGTACAGAAAACGGCGAAGGCAGCATCTGCTTGCATGCAATGTATTTGTGGATTTCATGTAGCAGGGCACATCTCGAATGGAAGTCTGTACATGAAGCCTGTACATGGTCGAGTCGTGCCTTCCTGCACACAGGCCCAGGCCAATCTCATGAGCAGTTCTTCATACAGGAGTTGTACGACTGTTGCTATTACAAACCTTATTCTTGCTCCCGTACTTGCTGTCTAGTCGACTGCGAGTTCTACTAATTACTGCGCTGTTGACTAGTCCTGCTATTCTGCATGTTTTTGCAAGGATCGCTTACCGCTGTCTACCCTCTTCTAGACCAGGACTAGTACTGCTACTTACTACTACTACTACTACTACTACTACTACTACTACTACTACTACTACTACTACTACTACTACTACTACTACTACTACTACTACGACTACGACTACGACTACTACTACTACTACTACTACCACCACTGCTTTTGCTGCTGCTACTGCTGCTACTGCTAATGCTGCTACCAACCACCTCTGTCGCCTAAACCGTTGGGCAAACAGGGAACAGTACGGAGGTACACTGACCCTTCAGCGCGAACACAAGGGGCCGAAGCAGTTAACTGTAGGCAGGAAAACGGACCCTCTAAACCACAGAAATTGTAGGATACGCACGGAACGAATGAACAAACATCATCATCAACATCATCGCGTGGGCGTTTCCACAGCGCATGCTCTGTGGAGCTGCTGTGTTTGTCATGCCCACCCCAGAGCCGCCCCCCCCCCCCCCCCAGCAAGAACAGGTGGTTGGTAGGGCGGGCGCACCTACTGCTCCCAGTACTACTACTGCTGCTGCTGCTGCTCCAACTCCTCCTCCTTTTCCTGCAACTACGACTGCTACGACGACGATTGCAACAATGATGAGTGTCCACTACGACGGCAATGAATGGGAAGAAGAGTGAACTGAGTCTCATCCAATGCAGCCGCATGGACAAGACTGTCTGCTGCTGATGACCTGATGGATGACTTGAACAATCTAACTAACAGACTAAGCCCATAACAGGGCTTCAGATGCTTTGCCATGAATTGGTCCTGTGCCTTCAAGCCGGCTCAGGCTTCACGACCTGCTCCAGAATGGAAAAAATGTCGAATGAAAAGTGCCCCCAAAGCCCAAGCCTGCATTTCCAAAAGCATGGAGTCTCCGTCGAAGTTGAAATGGACCGGAATACCAACCTCCATCAAGACCTCAACAGCCAGGCTCTCAATAGCTTCCTCCGTCCCTGAAACCATCCACGATGTCATCGCGGTGCTCGCGAGCAGAGTCTCCGGCCGATCCTGTCAATGTCAACCGCCTAGCAAGACAGATGCGGGTCCGAGTGCTTTCTTTTTGACGTAGCGGCTCTAGTGTTGGGACTCTGGTCATCAACGATTCTACAATTTAGGGTGTGTGCTGGGACCTCTTTTTTATGCGAAACTCCCACATGCGTGCACCGTTGCTACATGTCTGCAACCGCAAAGGACAGTCGTGGCACGTGGCCTGCGATGCTTGAACTGCGGACCACCTGGTTGGAAGATGCCTGGGTCGTGATAATGTAACAGAACATGCTAGTACAACATTACTTGAGTAGAAGAAGATATATAAGACATACAGTAGTTCATACAGATATTATGCGACATGTAATATACAATGTGGAAGAAGGCGACCAGCCGAAGGCTGACGTTGCTTTCCGGGCTCCGCGCCGTTGAACATGCCTTCGTCTGCCAATGTCGGAACCTCGAAAGACGCCCCCAAAGGAAAGCGTCCAAAACAGGCAGCACGAGAGGAGAGGAGAGCTGAGGCCCGAGACGTGCTCAGTGACTTGGTAGTGGCACTCTGGCCTGGCCAGGTTTCTGTGTCGTAAGTGTGGTAAGTGTGAAGTGTGGGACTGCGGTGTGGTGGCAGAAACGAAAAGAGACTGCGGCGCTGTGGGCTGTGGCTGTGTGGCTGTGGTGGCTTTCTCCGGCCTCAAACCTCGCAGCTTCAGTCGAGAGGGGAACTTGCCCACCTCACGTCTCAGCTGAAACGCTGGACCGCTGGACACCACCACAATCGCAAGCGGGACACCGTGTCGCGATGGAAGATGATCGCGCTCACGACTGCGCGGTCCTGGTCTGGCGACACCTGGCAGGCTTTTGCCTACGGCCGAGTTTCTGATGACAAGTGCTGAAACCTCTAACCTCTTAGCTTTGGGAGGATGTGTTGTGGCACTCAGCTTCTCAACTAGACGGAGCTTTCTCCCTTCATTCTTGGCCTTCCCTGTAGAGGTTTGGAGTTCGGGGTTGAGGGCTTCGATGGGTTTTCGGGGTTTCGTGGCTCTGATGGCTTGCTGAAAGCTGAAAGAAATCTGCGGCGAAGTGACAAACATCCAGGCATAGACCTGAGCTGATGCCGATTCCGGAAGGGCTTGAGGGACCTCTAGGGCCCGTTCTGCATATGGATCTGTAGTAAGGATTCTCAAAGTATCATCCTGCCACGGCCAGTCGCGGCCAGGTCAGAAGCTTGTTCCTGGAGACACCCATCCAGTCACAAGAAGCGTAGATGCAAAACAAGTCTACAGGCTTACAGCAGCGACAGATGCGATAGACCTCAAGGCTCTGGTGCGAGTTCTTACACGGTGTGACAAGGACTCGCGTTGTGATGATTATTGCGTTGTTCGCTGACTGCTGTCGTCTCTCGAACTCTTGTGCAGGTCCAAGGAGTGAGTGCTACAGTGTTCACACCGGAGCGATTCAAGGCAACACGGCCGCGTTGTTCCTGGTCTTATTGGACCTGCTTTCCTGATATCAGAATGTAAAGATGATTAGACCCGTAGATTCCAAGCTTGGATTGTAAGACTGGACGCAACAAGAAGCCCTGGGTCATACCAAGTTGCATGCGAATCTCCGATGCCAGCAGAGTTGCCCTGAGCCGCTCCAGGATAGCCGAAGCCTGCTCAATCCGTGCTCTGCTCGGACGTATGCTTCGAGGAAAACGAGAAGAAGCCTGAGTCTGGGTAAGAAAATGGAGAGGACTACTCTCAAAAACAGCTGGCCTGGCAGCCGGAAGAAATTGCCATGCAGTGTAACCTGCCAAAAGACAGTGAGGCGCCATAGACCATAGAGCTTGGTGCCTTTGACGCGAGGCATGTCAGATGCGAAGCGCGCAGGAAATCCTTCAGAGCCTCTAAGTTCACGTTCCCATGCTCCTGAACTCCTAAACAGCCTAAAGCCCCAAAGCTCCAGTAAGCTCCAGAAAGGTCCTAGAGGCCCAAAGAAGCTCGCGCCTGGCAGAGCCGCTGCCGCAGCGCGACGAGCTCCCCCACCTCCGCGAGCTCCTTCAAAGAACGGACAAAGAAAGCCCTTGGCAGATAGCAAAGCAAAGTTCTCAGCCTTTCTTCCCCCTCCCCACTCCCTTGGTTTCAAGACCAAAACTCTTCACTCTTGCATGAGGCAGATGCGAAGCGTTTGCGGCACTTACGATGGCTCAAGGGTTTATGGATTTCAGGGCCTATTGGGAGCTTCAATTCGTTTTGAAACTACCCCTACTCTACACTGTTGCGGTTGTGCCCATTCTCAGCCTCCCCAATTGTACGTGTGAACATCGGAGTGCGAATAACATGAAAACATGCTTTGTTATAGATGTTATAGTCCCAAACCCAAGCTGCGCTTGCACCCGCATCCTTCAGAGCAGATGTGCAGAGAGCATCAGTGCAAGAAGATTCGGCTTCGGGGGACCTTCTCAGGCAGCGCGTTCAGGTCCAACTCCAGACCTTGTTGTGAGGGCACGGCGCAGAGCAAAAGCACTCTGAGAAAATCTCAGGCTTGGGCCGAAGGTGCCCCAAAGAGACACAATGAAGCGTGTCCTCGGAAATTGTGATTTCCCCCAACGAAAAGACATTTGCGGAGTACTCAGGTCCGGGCTTCATGATGTGCCTCACCACGTGTGGTGCAAACATGTAGACCGATGCAAAATGCCCGATGGGCTGGGCCCAACGCGTCCGCCGTGTTTGGTGGCTTGGACCTATGAGCCCAAACACGTATCAAGACCTACGAAGACTTCTTACGCGACTCAGAGTCTCTCTTGGGGCCTGGGGCCCGTGCACGCAGCGATGTGCGCCCCCATGCACCGCGTCGGAGCCTCAGGACTGCTTGAGCTCACAGAGCTCTTAAGGAGGTCGCCGGGGCACGCCGGGGCACCGGGCCCACAAGGAAGTTCCCATGTGAATACGGGTGCGTGAAAAGGCATCGGAATTGTCAGAGCACCAGGCCTACGCTCAAAGGCTCTTAAAGCATCGCTGCAAGCTCCAGACATTTTCGCTGCCTGTGGACACCACGCGAGGAGAGCTGCATCAAAGCGTCCGCCTCCAGACCTCTCAGGACACTTCTGCCGCCCGTTGACTTGACTTGCAGCTCTCAGTCCCCGGCGCACAACTCTCAAAGAGGACGTGCGGGAATCGCGACGTGATCGTCTGAAGACGTCAATGACACGTGGTAGGAGGCAACCCGCATGGGGCATCAGGCAGCGTCCAGAGCCTCGAAGACTCGATAAAGCCCAAGGACGTAACGGTGATAGACCTGCGAGGCTGCTAGGGAACTGAGCGTTTCCTGTCGTTGGGAAGAGGGTCTCTATAGCATTGTTCAAAGGGTCCATGTATGCTGCAACTCCCTACTACGTCCGAAGTCCAATCAGCAGCCCAGATTAAGAGGAGCCTTTTGTGCTGGCTAAAGGGTGGCAGCCTGTGTGCTCCTAGTGCCGGCTCTCTTCTCCTTCTTCTTCTCATCTCTCCGACTAGGACGACAACGAGAACTACTACTACTACTACTACTACTACTACTACTCCTACTACTCCTGCTGCTACTCCTGCTGCCACTACTACTACTACTGCTACTACTATACTACTACTACTACTACTACTACTACTACTACTACTACTACTACTACTACTACTACTACTACTACTACTTCTACCACTGCTACTGCTACTGCTACTGCGTTTGCTACTACTACTACTACTGCTACTACTACTGCTACTACTACTACTACTACTACTCCTACTACTACTACTACCACTACTACTACTACTACTACTACTACTACTACTACTACTACTACTACTACTACTACTACTACTACTACCAGGCTTGCGCGCATGGGCACTACTACTACTACTACTACTACTACTACTACTACTACTACTACTACTACTACTACTACTACTACTACTACTCCTACTCCTACTGCTACTGCTACTGCTACTGCTACCACTACTACTACTACTTCTACTACTACTACTACTACTTCTACCACTGCTACTTCTGCCACTGCCCCTCCCCTACTTCGGCTACTCTATACCACAACTACCACCACCACTACCACGACGACGACGACTACTACTACTACCACTACTAGTACTACTGCCGCTGCTTACTATACGAGTCAAACTGACGATAACAGGAAGGAATATTGCCGGTAGTAATGCCGACACGAGCAGTGATACTGGCAAGCAATGATAGCAGCAATCGTACTGACACTCCAACTCTCCAACTATGATATTCATCCGTACCGGTTTCATGACAAAGGTATAATGGTCATAACATTTGCAGGAGTATCTGCGACAAGAGCCGAGTAAAGCAATCAGGATCGGAGAGAGAGCGACAACACTGACAGCAGAGAGCGCAGGAGTAGGACTGTTGAACTTTTCCTGCTGCTATTCCCTATTCCTGCATATTTTTTGCGCTTTTCTCTCTGGCGAAGACGCCCTCCTCCTCCCTGGCACGTCCCATGCGTCCTCCGGCCTCGCCCTGCTGCCGGGGCCTCGCTTTGATCACGACGATTCGACGGCCGGGCGACCGAGTCCACGTCCAAGATGTCCAAGCCAAGCAGCGGAAGCGCCGCTGAGAAGGCGTCCGTCAGCGCTCTGTTCATGTCCCACCTAGCTTCAAGCTTGAAGTGTCACAATGCCAGGAAACAAAGGTTAAAAGCTAAGGGCACTTAGCCAAATGACAAGGATTGAACAAAAAGTCTTCAGTCCGCATCTCTTTGCGGCTGGCGCCACTTGATATACTCGATGTTGGCACTGTCCAGCACCTTCAGAATCGCCTACTTCGAGCAATCTGTACAAACAGGTACTCACGCCAGATTGCATCGCGGATTGCATGCGTACTGTATGCAGGAGCTGCGCATCGCTACCGTCTTCTTCTCTTTCCGCCCCGTGCCAGGCTGCGTAACCTCTGAGGCACGGACGGAGCTCACAGCATCTATGATGTAATCCTCGTTTCACGGGCTTTTACGCACTGACGTTTCCTGCACGATTCCTCTTCGCCTGCCCTCTGCTTGCAAAAGACTCCTGCACTTCGATGCTTGTGAGGTCCAACACGAGCTGGTTCCTGACTGGTCCAGAGTCGGGAGAAGGTAGGCTATCCTCGTCTATCGTTTCCTCGAGATCTGTGTCTTTCTTCATTGAGTAGTCACTGACTTGAAGCGGTCAAAGGTTCCCACCACCGGGATTCCCTGTTGCCTCTGTGACCGCCTTTCGTGCACCCCCACCTAAAAAAAATGGGTTTTGGGTTGGCAAGCCCTACGTCGACCTTTAAAGCTGCAGAAACTGTAGAATACGCAAGGAACAAATGAACAAACATCATCATAAACATCAACGCGTGGGCGCTTCCAGTTCTTCCAGGCCATGGCTGACTCACATATTCGTTGCGCGAATCAGAATTATGGCAAAATTAAGGTTTGGGGCTGCCATGTTTGTCATAATCCCCCCGTCCCCCAGCCGCCCACCGGTTGCTTTCAGGGGGAGGCTGTTACTGCTGTTGCTACCACTACTCCTACCACCGCTGCCGCTACTACCCGCACTACTACTACCTACAACTACTACTGCGTGTGAATAAGGCTGCGCTCGCTGTTAGGACTTCTGCACCCTTGCACAGCCTGATGCATGCGGTCGCATCGTTGAGTAGCTTTCCACACGCAGCTGCGTTTGGCCAAGTCAAGGGGCTGTCCTCGCTGGACTGCCTGTGCCCTTTAGTGTAGCACTCAGCGTACAGCCATACGGCAAGGAAACTACAACTCGGGTGCTGTAGCATCGGCAGCTGCCAGTTGTAGAGCCTTTTGCACAGTGCCGAGTCTCACGACCCGAGCCGCACTGAGTTGCCGCCCTGCCGCGCGGTAAAACAAGCTGCACGCTGCAGCTGGCTTTCGGGTGTTGCCTAGGGTTGTTGGGGTAAGGGTAGCTAGGCCTACTTGAGCTAGGGACCTTTCCCTAAGGTTTACTTAGTGGCAGTGAAGTGCGAAACTTTTACCAGTTGGGAGCTGTTCTGGGAAAAAGGTCCCAATGCTCTCAGGCTACGCAGGACGCTCGAGCGGCGCAAGGCCACGGTCCCTGAGTTTGGACGCTGGCACGCACGCTCGGAGCAGCGACCCTCCCACGAGACCCGCTGCGTCTCGTGAGGAGCGTGAGAGGATCGCGCTTGAAGCGCGCCAACACCTGCGATCCTTAGGATTAAAAGGTACGGAGCACAGTGTTCGGTGACGGTGATGCCGACCTGGACAAGCACCTTGAGGCCTTTCAGGATGTATGCCTCGTGGTGAAGCCGAAGAACGACCGCGAAAAGCTTAGGTTGTTCGCCCGTACCTTAAAGGTACGAGACGGCGTTGCTACGACATGATCGTGAAGGAAAGTAAGCACAATGGGCACTACGAGGCCAGGCCCTCGGCAGTCTTCGACCGGGTCATTGCGGCCCTGGACGCTTTCTTTCACGAGAGTGACGAGGCGAAAGCCATGAAGGCGCGAGCCCGCTATGACTCGCTGGAGAAGAAAGCGACGGCCTTTCAAGACTTTCAAGTGAGCTGGCTAGAAGCGTTGACGGAACTCAACGCGGCAGGCGTGTATAAGTGTCAAAAGGACCTTTTATGCGACTATCTTCACAAGATCGGCTCTTTTTTACGGGAAGAGGTTTCTCGCGATCGTCGCTTTTGGCCGTTGCGACCTTCTCCGGGCGTAAAGCAAGCGTTTCGCTCGGTGGAGAGTTGGAGCGAAGCGGCCCTTGTTGCTCGCGAAATCAAGATACGCAAAGATGCGAACAAAGCGTTGGAAAGTCACCACAACGCCACCGAGGCCGATGCCTCGGCTCGTCAGCCAAAAAACAAAAACAAAAATGCTGGCGAGCCCTCGGACCCAACGAGAGCTCAGGTTGCTCTCCCAAGCACGAGTGGAGGCGAACGGTGTAGACACTGTTCCAACCCGGGACACATAACGACGTTGTGTCCCCGGAAAGCAGCGGAAATGCGCGGAGAGAGCGAGCAGTTGCTTGCTGAGTTCGCGCGCACCGGTGCTGTTTGCAACCTTTGCGCTGCCGTGGGCATCAAGGATGGGTCGCACCGGCCACGCCATCACACTTTGGCGGCCCAGGACCAGTACTCCACTGGCAAGGGCAAGGACAAGGGCAAAGCCGGTGTGGTAAGGGTAAAGGCGGAGGCGCGCGAGAAGCAAGCCTGTAGGTTGTTCGCCCAAGGGCGTTGCACCTACGGGGACCGGTGCAAGTTTGCACACGTGAAGGACGCCAGTAACGCCCAGCAGGAGACCACCCCTCACCGCGAAGGAGAAGAAGGCGGCCAAGAAGAAGGAAAAGCGCGACAAGGCCAAAGGAGGTGGGACCGGCTCCGACGAAAAGGTCTATCCTCTCTTCGAGGTTGCCACGGGGTCTAAGCTGGGGGAAGGTGCCGTGGTGTACGACACTACGCTGCAGGTGACCGAACCCTCAAGGCAATGGAAGTGGACCAAAAGGTCACGTCCTCCGCGCCGCAGCGCGCAAACGAAGGTTTCTTGCGCAGGCGTGGAGTTGGTCACGACACAGGCGCGACTTGTGGGTCGCTTCCAGAATGGCTTTTTGCAGAAGTGTACGAGCAGGTCGCTACATATCGCTGGGGCGATAAGGCGTGCCCGATCCGTGAGATCGGTGACTTCTCGAAGGATCCGCAGTCGATGTTGGGGTTCAAGAAAGGGACCTCAATTGAGACTCGCTTTTATGTGATCCTTCGGCTGGTTCTCAGCCCGGTGGGCAAAGGAGCGCCGCAGACAGTCTGCGTGCGGCTCAAAGTGATGCCTGCCGACTCGGCGGGGTTCGGGCGTGGTGTTGGGTCTTCCGGCCATAGGATCGAAGGGCCTACAGCACCGGGTGACCGATGCCGGGCATCGCTTCGACAAGCTGGGCATCACACTAGCTCCGATGGCCAAGGACCTGGACGTGGCCCATGCATCCAGACTTGACGCGGGAGTGGGTTTTGTTTTTCCGAAATGCTAGTCAGCTGCAACTGCAGCTGGAGGCCGGTGACGTCGTTGCGTCAGCTGAGCCTGTTTTCGCCAAAACAACAGGCGGGCACTGCTGCCCGGTGCTGCCCCGAGTGTAAGCGGTCGCTGAACGAGCATTCGGCGGCTTTGGCGGAGCTCGCTGCGAGTGGCGAATCTGTTTTCGGAGGATGCCCTGGGTGTGGGCTCTCTACGGCTCTCGTCAGAGCGCGGGAGACGGTGGAGAGGTTCGCGGAACGGTTGCTCCGAGAGTGCGATTTTTCCAAAGAGTCCGGATGTTTGAAAGGGAGCTACGCGCGGCGTGGCACCTAGAGCCGAGTAGTCAGTCGCGAAAGCCCCCTAAGAACCGCGTGACACCAGCGCCGCCTCCGCGGTTGGTGTTGGGAAGCTTTCGCCATGGTGGACTGGTGGAGTCGTTGGGACTACAACGATGACTCGCCATTGGCAGCAGACAGCCATGTACCTCAATGCGTTTTTGAAGGCCCGCTGCGAGGAGGATGGCGTCGAGGCCGAGCCCTGGAATGCTCTGGCCGTTTCTTTCGCTGGCGGGATGCCGTTGCACCGCGACGTGCAGAACCGCCGTGGCACGAACAACTTTCTGTATTGCGCCGGCAAGTTTTCCGGCGGAGAGCTTTGGGTTCAAGACAAGGAGGTCTTGAGCGGCGAGACCGTTCGCAACACCCCGCAGCCTTTCGTGCTGAAGGATGCGTCGGCGCCTGAGGGCGTCCCTGGGTTCAAAGTGTCCGCTAAAGCCGCTAAAGAGCGTCTGGTGGAGTTCGATGCCCGCGGCGTACATGGAGTGTTGCCGCATACGGGGGAGCGCCCGTCTCTTGTCGCTTATACCGTGCACACTCTGGCTGGGTCGTCCATGCGCCTTGGTTTCGGGTCTGCATTCACGACCTCAGAGCAGCGCTGCGCGCGCAGTGTCGCTGCTTGGAGTGTTTTCACTCCTCTGGCCGAGTCCGTGCTGACTCGCTGCAGTCCTCACGGGGATGGGCCGAGGCCTGATAGCCTTCGGGTGCGCCTGACGTTCTGTGCGCATTCGGGCCAATTGCTGGAGAGAAGTTCCGCCCCGCTTGAATACCTTGAGTTTGCGGAGCCGACAGACACCCTCACGGTGGCGATATGGCGAAGGCCAGCACCTTCGCTGAGCAGCAGTTGGCCGAGGTCGGGTATGACCTCGAGGGTGACCGGTTTGGTCCGAACCGATCTCTACCGGGGTAGCACCCTGGGGAACTCGCCGGACTACGCGCACCACCTTGTGGAGAATGAGGAGTTTTGCTGAATACCATCCTCAACCACGAGGCGCCTACCGAGGCCTACTACATGGCGTTTCGGTCGCACCTTGAGAAGCAGTACCCAGGTGCCCGCGCTTGCGTCTTAGAACACATCGCGGAACTAGTGGTGCACTAGCTCCTATATCCCACCACCATCCCCGGAACTCCACCAGGACGATAGTAGTAGTAGTAGTAGTAGTAGTAGTAGTAGTAGTAGTAGTAGTAGTAGTAGTAGTAGTAGTAGTAGTAGTAGTAGTAGTAGTAGTAGTAGTAGTAGTAGTAGTAGTAGTAGTAGTTAGCTTGTGAGCTAGCCGAGCGACAACCAAATCCCAGGTTGCCTGGAGAAATCCGATAGCCTTCGGCTATCCATCCCCAGGGTGGGCAAGGTGGGTACTTCAAAATTACCCCCCCTGATGGGGGACTTTATCCAGAATGGCCACGGTCACAAATGCTCGTAGCCATTCCAAGTCACAGCTATCCTGTCTTCGCATGTCAGATGCATCTATCCTGCGAGCGACGGTAGCGATCGAAACTTCGTTTCTAGCGAAGCTACCTTCAATAGCTTCGGGAGTAAATAGGTTAGCTAGCACACATAGTCGTAACTCGTTCCTCGTCACGAGGTACGAACTGTTTGATCTCTGCATTTGCGTGGGATTTAGTTTGGGGATAGAGACAAGCTCGTGCTCTTGAAGCCCCAATTGAAGCCACTCGGCGAAATCGTCGGGCGCCACGGGCGTAGCCCCGACCCCGCTAAGGTGACTGCACTTTCGGAGTGGGGTGAGATTGGAAACCTCAAGCA